ATGTGTAATGTGAGTGCATATACTTGAAATGTTTAGAATACGCACACATATATAATAGAAATAAAATCGAATTTTGACATTTGGACTATCATCATGTTCAGAAAAGAATAACATTGCACTTGTTTGTTGATAAATGTTTAAAGATCTGATTATTAAGATTATATACAAATAAATTTTTTTTATGTATGCTGACAATAGCAAGATGGCCGTTTAGTAAGGCTTCTTGTTGATTACAGTAAAGAAGAAAAAGGCATAGAACATGCTTTCAGAATGAGAAAATAGAAAGGATATATAATTGTGAGACACACCCAAAAACTGTTATTCACATGCCGTCGATCGATTTCTGTCAGAAAATTAATGCATCGTCCATACGACATGACAAATCAGTTTCGACAGACTCTGATTAGATCTTGATAAAACTGCATAGCCAATTCTTTCTAGCTGATTGTCAATTAGTGAATGCTATTGAAAATAAAGGAATTGCAATAAATCAAAAATATTGTTTCAGTAGTGTTTGAGTCATTTGCTTTCGAACGGATGCAATTAGCTGCTTCAAGTATCATTTATAAAATTTCATTAATGATACTTACGTTCAAAAAAATGTTTTATTTTAAAGCTACGGGGCGGGGCGTTTTGAATCGATTCCGGTCGGTCGTTATTCCTGTATTTCCTTCGTTAGGTCGAAATAGCTATTATACAACATTATTTAGAATGGTTTTATATACAATTGTCCTATTTTATAATTGTATAAATATAAAACGTATAACCTTTAGTTTCCCTTGTTTACAAATTAATGAATTAATACATAGAAAGTCAATGTTTCTGTATTAGTTTTCTACTAAATTTTCTCTTTCTAACCTTTTTCAGAATGTGAAATATTCCATAAGATCATTTTTAAAGTGTGAGATATGGTACGGCAAATATTATTTTTTTTGTGTATACGAAGTGTTTTTAACTTCGAAATGGGGGGCTGTAGGCAAATGATATAAATCTATTAGGGGTATGGAAAGTTTTTCCACAGGAGAAGATGAGAGTCCGCAAAGGATGCGCCCCACTTTCTATCACTAAAAACATAAAAGGAAAACTTTTCTTACTATTAAGTTTTCGGCGAGACTTGACAAATATAGTATGTCGAGGAAGGATAACAAACATGCAGTGATTAAAGATCAAACTTTATCGTACTATTTTTTTAACAACAACGTTACTCTTCTGTTTCTTTTGGATGATTGAGAGGGTGGAAGAGGTTGTCAAAGTTGACGTCATTTATAGGTGAACTCAAAAGGTTGACATAGAGAGGATCGAAAAAAGTAAAAAAGAGGTCAGTATCATTTGTATGCAGCTCAAATATGAATGATAGTGTACGACGTTATTCTTTTAACGTTTGATTTTATGGCAGCGAATGACATTATCAACACTTTTACATAACATATTAATAGACTTTATGTTTTTACTTGACTCTGCCATATCAAGTCGAGCGATATTTCTACTAGTAACACAATGACAAAACGATCCGATCATACTATCCATAATAGACGGACAAAACGCTATTTTATTTGTAAATAGTACTAAAAAGTCCGCAATAATACATGTTTCATGGTGTACCAATTAGTAAGACTTGTTGCTGGTACACTGGTTTGGTTATGAGTGATACTAATAATCCCTGAGTATTCATTAATAGTCAACACTATATTAATACAAATTACAAGCTCAATCCAAGTGTTTGCTTTTCCAATAACATATTCAACTCTTTAATTCCAACTCGTGTACGGTGTGGCGTATTAAAGCAACATTCGAGCGAAGGCGAGATCCTCCGCTTTAATACGCTATCTATGTATCTCAAACGTGAAGTACCTCTAAAAGAAAGTATAAAATCCGAACGGAAAAAGAATGCTTTGCAGTCAAATGGAACATTCTAACAGGAGTAAATTTCTCTAAAGGAACTTCAGTAATGCACATTTGATATCACACATAAACCAGGACAATGCATTGCTGATTGCAATGTTTATCACAATTTTCCGTTGATGCAGCAGCCATCGATGATTACTGTAGGAAGTTTACAAGCTAAACTGCGCGCATTAAGAGCTCTGTTCATTGTTAATGTAGTCATCCATCACACAGTTACAAGTTCACTGGAATATGAATGGTAACTCTTCATAGTGTCTTTTCTATCCTCTACGATCGAACTTTCTCAACTATCTTGAGATACCACACCATGAACCACATTCGATATTACTCGATTGCACCAAAGCAACATCAAGACAATATCTTGCATTAGCAGCTCATACGATTGAACATAAGCCTCGACTTATATAAACCGGTATTTGTGGCAGTGATGATGCAAAGTCAAATTTACTGACCGATCAAGAATTTGTTAATAAGTACATTCAATCTTGTCTACAACGTACTGTGTTCAACAATCCAGCCCCCAGACAACGGTACTGTAGATTTTCAACCCGAGTCGAATCCAAACGAAGTCTTTCAATTTAGCCAAATAAATTTTAAAAGGCAGCCAACAGTGGCCAGCGGATCCTTCCCTCCTATCCTCTTCTGGATATAGCCCGATCAGGATATATTTTTATATCCCGAATGGGATATGGTGTACTGAAGGCATATCAAGGCACGGTGGTTTTTGTTTTTGAGTGTGCGAATGTGAGTTCATCTTTCTTACAGGGTTTGAAGAAAACTAATAATATTTCATAATATTACATTCACATGACTATGTAAACTAATATAAGCTACTCAGAAAAGCATCAAACTATTTATGCACATATCCCGATCAGGGATATGTGCATGAATAGTTTTTGTATATCCCAACTGTAGAGTCCTGCGGTAACAGAAAAATTCCATTACCTTACCGTTACCATTACCATGATAGTGGTAATGGTAGCGGATACGTTTCAAATTCCAGTTATAATCCTACCGTCTCTTTATTATAAATGGTATCATCTATCACTTTGGTGTATATAATACAGTCAAACGTTATATAACGTTCAGACTAGTCAATATTCCTCCATATTCTTTATTTTGTGCCTTATGTACGTGTTTATGTTTTTTTTCTTTTCCTTCTGCGGGAATATGTTCAGTTATCATGGTAATTCCATTAGCATTACCACGGTATGGTAATGGTAATGGTAATGGTAATGGTAAAAAAACTTCTATCGATGGTAATAGTATGATAAATGGTAATGAAAAAGTCATGGTAACAGGACTCTACCCGACTGGAATTTACAAAATAGTAAACGGTAGACTTTTGAATCCAGACTAGAACAGCATGGATTCCGACTTAGTTTTCATCCGCTTTCTTATGCCATAGTCACTTTTCTGCAATAACGTCACGATTTTTGCGATAATGATTTTTTCCAAAATGTTTGCAAAAATATCCCGATCAGGATATGAATTTTCTCCAATGTCCCCATCGGGATATCACTCGTGAAACAAGACTGACGGATCATATTTATCGTTGAAGGCTCCTATCAATTCGCACTCTGTGAGGCTACTAACATATCTTTTCAATATTCTATCATCCACAAACGAACGGACAAGTCGAAAGGTTCGACGCAATCACCCGTCCAACAATAGCCGTACTTCAAAATGATGGTCTAAATAATTAGGATAAGATTTATTATTATCTATACCTCTGCCTTTTGTTTCTTTGCTGAACTCTTGTGATAGAGGTGAGATGTCATTAAGTGGCACTTTATGGCTTTTTCTTTTCTTTCTTTTTCATCCCAACCTTACCTGTTTTAGGCATCTCTTACAATAGTGTATATATCGATGCGCTTTTCTACTTTCTGTTGAGAACGTTTGTTTTCATTGAAACAGGTACCATGAGTCTATATTTCTCAATACAACCGTACCTTTGCTATGTTTCTAAATTTTTCGGAGTTTAATAGCGATCTTGTTTTTTCCCATCTACCAGTTTTACTCAGTTGACTTACGAATCTCAGTGGGTAGTTGACCTGTAATTCCTTCTTGATGGATATTTTTCTCTCTCGAGTTATCCGTTATTTTTCGATTATATTTGATCGTACAGATCGAAGAAAAAAACGAATCGAATGAACAAACGTGGTGTATTTGATTCTTCTAGAACTATTTATTAACGATAACCAGAGATGAGCAACTCAGACAAAGTTCAACTCTAACTCTGCCGGTCCCAGTTCCAACTCCGTTTCAACTTCGATAAACACTTTTACCGTTCATGTTAGCGCATCGCATTATAGAACAAAAAAATTCAGTGTAATATAATAAAAAAAGCAAAAAAATTGTCAGAGTTGTAAAAATGTTGAAACAAAGCAATAACAGAGTTGGGATTGAGAAAATTTGTACTCAACTCAACTTCAACTTCCGCAAAAAACAACTCAACTCTGACTATAACTCATCTTTAATGGATCTCAAAAGTGTATTCTTACATCATGCTGTTTCCATGTAGTCAACTTCTTAATCTTTGCACAGCCGAGTTAGTCTCTTCGGTTATATTTGTCTTCTTTATTTTTGTTTTGCAACAGCGAATAATCATCACAGGTAGAAAGAAAAAAAAAAATTTAATTACGCGTATATTTAGAAAAAATGAAAAAAAAAAAACGTTTTATAAAAACGACAAAGTAAGAAATTTAAGAATGCAAAATAAAATGCGAATAGTTAATAATGATGAGGAACAAATTACCTAAGATGAAACAAACGATTTTTTTAAAATCTATCTTCTCCTTCACTTGGAAATGAGAAAAAAAAAATTAACGAATGTTTGTTGTGAGAATATATACATTCATTGAAGTACAAACCAAAAACAAGAAATCAGAGATTTTCAAATAGGTGAGAGAGAAAGACATGGATTTTTTGTTGTATGTATGATGTGTATGAAATTTAGAAAAATAGAAAAAAAGGATACACACATGTTATTTGTTTAAACTCGAATATGAATATATAGTAGTAATATAGCAGTAGTTACACATAATTTACACACACACACACACTCTCATATACAAACATAATATATACTTTTTCTAGTCTTTCCAACGTTTTAGTTCTTCTTCTAAATCATCAGTATTATTTAAATTATTTACACGTGATGCCATGGTAGTTGTAAATAATTTTTTTGATTCGGCTAAATTCATTGTACCAACAGCGTTTGATAGCGCACTAACATTGGAATTATTACCACTACTAGCAACAAGATGAGTTGAACCATTGCCATCACCATCATCCTCTTCGAAATCTTCATCGTAATTTCTAAAAATAGAATATGTTAAAAGTAAATTTAGTATTCATTATAAATCATATTTAAAATGTATATCCTTGATAATATTAAATCACTTACACATCATCCATATTTTCATTTCCACCATCTTCATGTGTAAGATTATCGTATTCAGCTTCGGCAAATTTAACCCAATCGGATACTTCTGGTAAATCTGGATCCTATTAGAATAAAAAAATAACGATAATTAAATATATCAAGTATTGATTGAAATATTTTGTTACCTTAACATTTGAAAATGGATCTTTTTGTTCATTATCAAGATATTTTTCAAGATTAAAGAATGTATCAAAAAAAACATTTGTCAATTTACAACGTTTTAAATCTTTTAAACGTATTTTATTTTCATCTTCAGGTTTAACTAAATCCAACATTTGACATATAGCATCTTCAAATGGCATATATTCAATTCCGTATATTTCCATTTTATGTACTTGTTCTTGATAAAAATAATCTAATTCAAACATTGATAATATACCATCACCATCCAGATCCATACAACGAAACCAATATTCAATACTAGAAATACAAAATTGTTTTTTTTTTTATTATTCTTATTCTTATTCTACTATTGATAATTAACTCGACTCACCTTGTTTGTGAACGTTTATCTTCTTCTGATATAAGAAACCAAACAAATTCATAATAGGACATTTTACCTTGTTTCATATTTTCACTACTACAAAAACATTTATTAATAAATTAGCTTTATTATTCGAAAAAAAAGGAAATAATAGTAAACAACTTACTTTGATACTGCGCCAGAAAATATTCGATCAATCATTTTATTTGATATAGCTAAAAGAATACTTATTATTACGATAAACAAATCTTTATATTTTAAGGGATGTTCTCCCCCTAAATATATCCTCAAAAACTTGGTCAGTTTGTAGAAAATACCTTCACTGGTATGCCTTTTGTTATAAAACAAAATTTGATCAAGTATCGACAGTGTTACTAATTAATTAAGTTTAAATTCTAATTAAAATTTGAATTATTAATTTCCCTTTTGGAAAGCTTGCAGTTCGATCAAAAATAATTGTAGAAAGGTCATGCTTGCGTAGTTTGATAGACAATGACCTATGGTTATAGTTTCATCAAAAACATTTTAAAATTCTTTTTTTAAGATATTAGATTATAATTAGTAAGTGCTGCTAATCAATGCTAGTTAGCGTCACTTTGATGCCTTAAACTTTTATCTCTGGAAAACCGAGTCATAATTCTGAAACTCGTAGCATAAATCTACGTTTTGGAATTCTTTTTCAAAACAAGCATTGCCAGCAGATTCAGCATGGCCGACTACGTATGTTTCATGCGATTCCAATGTAACCTCAAGTCATCGGATACCAGTCCTGTGACTCCAAAGAAACCCGATATCACTCGTGAACCACTGAATATGAAGGTTTCGCTTGGAAATCGTTCTGTAGGAAACAATTTGGATTGACTACTTATGGGAAGAAAACAAATTCTTTATGCTGCGAGTTTCAGGGTTATGGCTCAGTTTTCCAGAGATATCCTAGAAAATCGTTTTTTTAACAAATTTTTCTTTTAGATAAAGATACGGTCACGTATCGAATCAAAAATACCTTTTGTCAGTCAAAATTTATTTAAAAAATCGTTTTTGTGGACGGACACAGTAATAAACCGCTCATAAATTCAATATACCTAAAACTGGGTTAAAATAACTGCTAATTAGTTACTTTTTGGGAACGTAAATATAGGGTTTTGTAGTGCTTGAAAATCTCTGTCAAATGAAATATTTCTTCACGAACTCCAAAAAATCGATAACTTACAAATAAAAGTGTAAGGTACCAAAGTGACGTTAACTAGCATTAATTAGCACTTACTAATTATAATCTAATATCTTAAAAAAAGAATTTTAAAATGTTTTTGATGAAACTATAACCATAGGTCATTGTCTATCAAACTACCCAAGAATGACCTTTCTACAATTATTTTTGATCGAACTGCAAACTTTCCAAAAGGGGAATTAGTAATTCTAATTTTAATTAGAATTTAAACTTAATTAATTAGTAACACTGTCAATATTTGACCAAATTTTGTTTTATAACAAAAGGCATACCATTGAAGGTGTTCTCTACAAACTGACCAAGTTTGAAAGTACGTTTAAGGGAGGACACTTCCCTTAAGTGGACTCTCTCATACCACCATTATTATGTTTGGCAAGATCATCGCGACTAATGAATAAATCATGATCACTATCTAATTCCCAAAATTTACAATAAATAACATAAAAATGTTCATAGGAAAAGTAGTCGTGTATTCGATTAATATCTTCTTCTTGTTCAATACGATCAAGCGTCTAAAATACAATGTTTATTTAATGTTATATCTTATATCGAATTTATTGTTGATATTGGAATAATTAATCATATTTTCTGTTATATAAGTTAAATTTTCTTACTTGTAGAAAATTACTTCGACGAAGTTCAGCGGCTGTTAATTTATTTGACCATGACCGATTTACATTATAATAAACACGCGCAATAACCTAAAATAAATTATACATATGTTTTTAATAGAAAAATCGAATATTATGTAATATATAATACGTACTGTTTTAACATAACGACTATGAAATTCTTTTGCTTCACGTAAAAATTTTAATCCAGGATGTGTATCGATAATATCTTGTACAAGAAATTCCCAATCATTAATAACAAGATAATTTACATTTGGTTTTGATGCCATTAGACAAATGAATTTTGATGCATTATCATAATTTGTTTTACAAATTCTTTAAAGAGTAAAAAATATATATAAGGTACTGACAATGTAAAAATGCAGTAAACCATTTTGTTTTTGTTATGATTAAATAGAGCTCATCGAGTTACGTAAGAAAATATGGATTTTACTTTTTACAAAACACTTCTCCTGAAAAAGAAATTACAAAATATTCTAAACTTAATTCTAATATTTCCATCTGGAAACCGGGCGAACATCGCACAAGGGAAATATGAGGATTAAAAACAGGCAAAAGTGGATGAAATTTTTGAAAATAAACTTAATTTTCAACTTTATTGTTATTTCAATTTACTCGAAACTATTTTTCTTGGATTATCCATGAAAAACTAAATATGGAAAATAAAAAACAAATTTTGACTAAATTTAACTGTTCACACCACCAGAGCAATAAATTTCTTATAAAATGAAATGTTACCGAACTCTTCACGATGTTTTGTCACTGAAATATTTGGTTTTAAAGCACCATCGTTTGGCTGAAGTAACACATGAGGAAAAGAAAAGCTCGTTTGAACATCGTGAACAGCTCAGTTTGAAGAAAATTTGATGTTCTATTGACGAGGATAGTTTTTAAACATTCTTGATGGGTTTTCTAACGACTTTTGAACATTGTCTGGAGATCTAGACTTTATTTCTTTTAAATGTACATTGAATTTTACCTGTGTGATTGAGATTTCACAAGATTATATGCAGTCATTACGTTTTTACTAATGGATGCAAGAACCTCTTTTGATGATCACATTCAATGAAAAAAGAAAATACACATTTTTGAGAACAATTGAATATAAAACAAAACCGATATGTAACTTTTTTCCCATAGAGTGGTTAGACTGAAATAAGGCAATCCAAGAAAAATAGTTTCGAGTAAATTGAAATAACAATAAAGTTGAAAATTAAGTTTATTTTTTCAAAACTTTCATCCATTTTTGCCTGTTTTTAATCCTCATATTTCCACCTAGTTTCCCGGTGGAGATATTAGAATTAAATTTAGAATATTTTGTAATTTCTTTTTCAGGAGAAGTGTTTTGTAAAAAGTAAAATCCATATTTTCTTACGTAACTTGATGAGCTCTATTTAATCATGAAAAAAACGGTTTACTACATTTTTATATTGCCAGTACCTTTATGTATAAGTAATAGAAAATGAAAAATGTCTTACTTCTTCCAAAATGTTTCGAATTGTTGATAGGTAATATGATTGGATGTAATGGCTTTTGTGGCACTTGTCACATCTTGCATGCAAGCACGAAATAAGGGCGCTTTCCAATATAAACTGAGGCCAACCGACTAAATAAAAAAAAGTGAGGTAAGAATGAGGACGTAACTAATTAACATACGGTAGATGATTATTAATATTTGTTGAGGAAAAAGGTTTCAACAACCGTTTACAAACAGAAAAACACAAACTTTCGTTTTATCAGCAAACAATTAGAAGTTAGTTTTATAGTAAAATGTAGCCAGTTAAACAATTCTTGGTGAAATTGTATGCACTTTAGATATGTGAAACAGATGAGTCTGTATCACTCGACTGAATAGATTTATTCAAATATTAAACTGACTATACCTGTGCAACCGCTCCGAAATCTTCTGAGTATAATTTATCATTTTTCTTCTGAAATAATTCCTCTTTAACTTTTTTCAATTGTTTCGTTATCACATCGGATGAATTTGATTCAGCATTCGAACCATTTGGAAAGTAAAAACGTGGTATTACTGTTGTTTTTCTATTAAGGTCTTGTTTTTGTTGTGGTTTTGTAGGTGATTGATGTTGTTGTGGAGTTGTACTGGTACGTGTTTCGATTGTCTCAACAGGTGATTCATTTTGTGATAGAGACGGTCGTCCACTACGATTTATTTTATCCGTGGTCGTAATAGCTGGTATTATTTCTTGCTGTTTATCGACTGCTGTTTGTCCGGCAGATTGTCGTATTTGTTGTGATGGTGTTTTAATAGTTTCAGTAGGACCATCCTTATTATTAACTGTCGTTTGTATTGATGGTGATTTTGAATTTATTGATGAACGTGGCGATGGTGTTTGTTGTTCACGATAACTATCAGCAAGACGATCTCGAAGTGATACAACGCTGTTAGTGGTATTATTAGACGTTGGTGCCACTACTTTTGCCGACGGTGTAGTTGATACTGCTGTCTGTGGTGAAGTTATGGATGATACATCGCGTGATGGAGATGATCGTGTGGGAGATAATGTTTGTTGCTGAAGTTTGTCACGTGGAGATGTGTAAACAGTAGGCGACGAAGACGACTGATCTTGTATAGCAGGTGAATGTGCCCTCGTACCGATACCATTGATAGGTCGTGTAATATTATGTTGATGATCCCCACTTACAGATACTGGAACTGACTTCGCGATTTGTGATGAATTTTTTTCGATTGTAACCTAAAATAGACAGAGAAAAATTAATTTGTTTAAATAAGAAGAATGAATATCATTTATGAATCACTGCACACGTTTATCATGCCATATTAAAAAAAATGACCAAGAAAATTCGGGTTTACAGTTTCCATTCACGGATAGATTTTTAAATTGAATTTAATAACTAATATTTACATTTTCTAAGTAAGAGAAAGAAACTTTCCAAATCATACATGAAACTAGTTGTTTACGTACATTTTTTACACAACTTTGAACCAAGAAGAAATATGTACAACAAATCAAACAACATTGTGAGATATGAGAAAAAAAGTTATCGACCGTAAATTACGTCTTATTTACTGTTAGAAGTGGAAAATTACGAGGAGGGAATAATATACACACAAATTACCGGATTTTGTAAAATAAAATATATTAAAACATTCACATGCATTTATCAAACAACAACAATAGAAAAATGCTTGATGGTGACCATAAATTCTCACCTCTGGTATAAAAACAGCTGAACGATGTTGTGATGGCAATGTTTGACTTTGTGTTCCATTTGTACTGTTACCAGTAGAAGATTTTAATGGCCATATGGCCTCTGGATGTGTGAACTTTTGTCTTATTTGATGTTGAATATGTTGTTGAATTTGATCGGCTGGATAACGTTTTTCAAATACAAAATTAATATGAGATTTAGGAATTTTTGGACTTATTGATATACGAGCCAAGGGTGTTGAAACAGGACGACAAAACCCTTTAAAAACACAGGTAACAACAAAAAAAAAAATTCAAATATCTCCCAATGACTAGTTTATTTTCTATCACTTTTTTATTCTACCTTTATGAATAGCATCACAGTAACGACCATGATATCGACATTGTTCACAAAAATGTATTGAACGACGACGTGTTTGATCAATACGAACATTAAAATAAAGACAGGTACTTGTACGCACAATCTGACATGGTACACTATTTATAGTCATATTTTATTTAACAATAGTACTACGTTGATACCATTAACAATATTATCATTCATTCATTATTCAATATAGAAAAGTCTAGAAAAATTAAAAATTATTTTTTATTATACAATTGAAAAAAGCAAATTAAAGTTATTTATTGAACATGATTCTTTAGTTGTTTATTTTTTCATGTCTCTCTATCTACTCATGGGATCTCAAGATTTAGAAATGAATTTTTTGAAATAAACATAGAAAATAAGACGTTCAGTATCTATCAATGAATAAATGATTTCCTCAATGATTGTAGTACTCAAACTTGCTCTTTGATTCTCATTAAAAGCTAGACTTTAGATATTGTTCAGTTCATTCAGATAAATGATATATTTCAAAATATAAAAACTGAACTAATCATATTTTTTTAGTAATAATTCATTCTATTAGTAAACATCAATGTTAATCATTGTCCGTCGAATTCTTCTCTATGTAATAATTTTATTTGAAGACATATGAAAGAATGAGAATATTAATCTTTAATTAGTCATCGATTATATTATTTAAAAAGTAAAAATCCAAAACTATGTTTCATTTTTATACGAACTTTGTTTCTATTCTAGCCTGGTTCAATCTCTCGACTCTTTAAGTGATATACCTGACTTTATCCTTTTATTCCTATTCTATAGTACAAACTATCGTACACTTTATTATATCTATACATTAATACGCCTTCTTGTTTGAATTAAACGTTTTCGATTTTTTTTTTTTCTTTTATGACTTTCGCTTACAAATTGTTTCTTCTTATTTTTTTATGTTGTTTCATTTTTTTTTTTCTTCTTTTTACATTTCAAGTCGCATGCAAAATGCGATAAGCCATCCTAAATGAATTGAGTGAGAGAATGAGTGAGAGTACTCAATTTGTTAAAGAAAACAAACATATACGAAACACACATATTCCAAGTGAAATTGAAGAAAGAAGGAAAAAAGGTAGAGAATAAAAACACAATAAAGTACAATGATTTGGCATAGAACATAGAACTGGTCAATAAAAATCTGATCTGATTGAATTTTTAAGAAGGTTTAAATCGATAGATATCCTTGAATCAAACTGAGAAGAAAAAAAATTATTAGACAAAATTTTTTTGTTCATCAAATTACTTTGTTGTAGTATAAATTGTATAAAAATCGAATATGTCTATCAGTTTGATTAGATAGCATCAGTTACAATGTAAATCAAATTTAAATCACTTCAAAAAATTTTATCGTTTCAATATGAGCAAAAGAAGAAAAAAAAACAACTCGAAATTCTTACATGAAGAAAAAAACATTTCAATATTAAATTTCTCTATATATAACTGTTTTTAAAAATAATAATCAAGTATAGAAAGAAGATGAAAAGATAAATTTTTAAAAATAAAAATAGTATGAAGATGATTTTATTATCAAATATTTAATATCTTAATGGAAAGAATTATTAATTAAATGGTGTTTTGAGTAAACAATAGAAGAAAATAAAATATCGAACGAGACAACTAGATGTATACGTTATAGGAAATATCTAAAATTATGCGAGATAAAAGGCTCAAGATCGTTTATTATATATATTTGAATTAATGAAAAGATGACAGACATGATGAAAAGATATTAGCACTTTGAATTCTCTTCTTCGTCATTAGAAAAACATATCCATAATATTTTCTATTTCATCATCAAGTCTCAATTAGATTCAATGTTAGATCAACAGTTTGAACATTAGCTTGTTTTGTTTTCCGTCTTGACTAATGAGATGCCACAGAATGAATTGTTATGATTATTGGGAGTAAATCATGATATATCTATAGTCCAAATAATCTATGGAAAATTCAAATAACTACGATATATGCATCGCCACATATATTCAAAAAGCGTAAAAAGTGGATGGGTTTGAATGCGGGCGGCTACCTTCATCGAATAATCAAAACTTTTTCGTTTTTCGGTCACTGGAAGCTCTTGAAAACAATTTTATACCAACCTTTGAGAGAACATATATTTTATTTTCCTTATCTTCAAGATTAGAAGAAGTCAAAAGAACACTTTTAGCTGTTTGATGTCTAAACGTCTATTTATTTAAATTAAATCAACAGGAATTAGTTTTACTACTAGAAAGAGAGATATAATTCATCTAAACATCTTGGATTAAGAAAATTTCTATTCATGAAATAAACCATGAAGTCAAATACAACTATTAACATTCTTATTATCTTGTTAATTGAAAGAAATGAGTTAACAGTTTAGTAGTACTACTAACCAGATAGTATTATTTTCGCGTCATAAACAATAGATAAATAAATAAACAAAACTTCGTTTTTCAAAACATAGTTGTACTCTAGGGCATAGAGAAGAAGAAAAAAACTGGTAATACGTGTTAACATTACGCAATAGATATCGACGAAGATGAATTCTTTTACATACATATACTGTATAATACAAGTATATAAAAAAAAGAACACAGAAAGAAAGATAATATACAATGGGAATATGTTTATTAGAGAGAAAATGTACTAAATGGAATTTTTACGTTAGACCAACTAATATCTCACATGTAAATAGAAATAACTAGAATCTGACTACTACTAGATAAAACAGAACAAGTAAAAAAGAAAAAGAAGAGTAAAAGATAATTGAGATCAAGGAACTGTAAATAAATACTTCAGATTATTAACGGTCTAGGCCAAAATAAGCACTAATGAATCACACATACTCAAAAGATGAGAATTATCAACGATAATCTGTAGAAACTTTTTGCTCTTACCTGTTCACTATTTGCTCCATTTTGACTACCATTTAGTGTATTTCTTTTTCGACGTTTTCTCTCGCCTGAACGTGGACTCGATGATGAACGTGGAACGGGAGATACGGGAGGTGAATCGAAATGTTGAGATTTTGAAAAACCACCTCCACGAGTCGTTGTTGTATGATAGCTCTAAAAACAGTTTGAATATCAAATATCAAATAGATATTAGAAGTAGTTAATCCTCTAAGGGTGTTAGAAGTATATTAGTATTAAATAGAAAGAGAGAGGAAGGAGGAGTATTCTATACTTTGTATCTTAGATCTTATATCTTACCTTCGGATAATTTGGTTCGGGAAGTTTTCCACCTGAGCGGACAATTTGTAAACCGGCAAATAAATTTTTTCTTGTATCTTCTTGTGAAAGCCACTGAAGAAATAAATCATTAACCATTTTAGTGATGGGCACAGCTGTCATTTTGTCGTCTCTAGTGGACTCAGAAATATATGGATTCATTGTATATCACTTCTTCAATATGTTCAAAGTCTAAATTATGTAGCCATTATAAATGATAGGATAATATTCGAAGTCTATAATTAATATGAATATCTATTGTATAAAAACGATGTGTAAAATCATTAAAATTATCTAAAAAGAAAGAAAAAGGAACACTATGAGAATTAACAGACAACAAGTACAAAAATTTTTAAATAAAGCGTCTTTTTCTACGAGGATGAATTCTACAAGGTTGAGATTGATATCCACATAGGATGAAAACAGAAAACTTCACATAGTAATAGTTTAACAACAGCTAATATGTTTAATTTGACCATGATTTTATTTAAAAATATTTCTGTCAACTTTTCGAGCTATAGAAGTTCATTTTCAAGACTTGACTAGGATAGAAAAATATA